TTTCATTTAATATTATGTATGATTTTCGTATTTTTCATGGATTTTGGAGCTTAACAATATGAACAATTCAGAAGTAGGAAAAGGAAAGTCATCAAAAATTCGTCGAATGAATGTGGCGAGCTCTAAAATGTTAACTGGTATGTTAGTTACTACTGTTCAATATTTGTATATTTATATTTCAATCACTATATACTCTTTCTAATTTATTATTTAGATCGCGATTCAAATGATGGCTGCGAAAGGTGTAAGAACTTGGCAAAGTTGTTCTCCGAAAAAATCGCTAAATTAACAGGTATATTTATTGTTATATGCATGCATACAGGGTTTCAATTTCTCCTATCTTTCTCTTGTTTTTCACAGAATTAATCGAAAAGCAAAACAAGTTCGTTGTTGGTGTTCTGGCGGAGCACACTGTACTTTTGGAGCAGGTGACAAACAAAGAAAAGGGCGCTGCTGCAGCTGCTTCACGATTTCCTCTTAAAACAGATGAGGACATTGCAAAATTGGAGGGTGAAATAAACGACATCAATCGGGACTGTTACGTAATTGTTTATATTCAATATATTTAAAAATGTTTGTAATGATCACTTTAAACGACTTGATATAATTATATTACAGATTGCAGCAGTACAATATTTGCTCCAGGGGGAGGTTGGCAAAAACTTCGAAAAGGTCTTCTCAAGAAGCCTTTATCTCCAATGTAATATATATGGAATCGCAGGAAAAAAGTGCCTTAAGGACTTTTCCGAGGTGTTTACCGTTTTAAAAAGTAAGACAAATTAAGATTTACACTAAATTGTCACAATAAATTATATTCCGAATTCATGTTCACAGAAGCCATTGGGAAAACCTCGGTCGATGCAGAAGCCGAAATACGCAAGGCTCTCCAAGTCGTCAAAAAACGGCACTTCCGCATGGTTTCTTTTGCAAAATCATAAATGGATGCACTTCGAAATCTATTATTTTTGAATAGTATTTAACTTATTTCAATTAATGCATTTTTCTCATTACTTACTTACTTTATACTATTATTAATTCCTCAATTCTTAAAAGTCATTCAAAGCTTTATTTATTTTCATTAACAATTAACTTCAAAGTTTATTACTTTAAATTTCCTAAAATGAATTATTAATGTTTAGTTCTTTCATTTAATATGTACAATTATTTCAAATTAAATAATTCATTAATTTACACAAGTTCATGTTTTTAAAACTAAACTAGCTTTTCGTCATATTAATAAATTTATTTACTTTAATTGTTAAGTTTAAAAATTATCATTAATTTCTAAAATTTATTTTTTAAACATTCAATTAAATCAAATGAACTATTATTAATATTATTATAACTATTAAATTGTAAGGCACGCATTATATAACAATACAATTTTAACTAACCTAAAAGAGAATAAAAATATTATTATAAATATAAAATAATAAATTAATTTTATAAACTATTTTACAATCATTTAATTTAATCATTAAATTTAATCATATTAAATGTTAATGAACAACTAATTTTCAATCACTGAAATACTTGAATTATATTAAATTTAAATGAACAAATAATATTTATTAATTAATAATTAAATAATTAATTATTTTAATTTAAATATATACATACATACATCACTATAAATATAAGTTAAAATGAAAATATCAAATAACAAATTCTTAACGATTTATAGATTAATGAATACATGATATAAGTGTAATATATCTAATTTAATTAATATAAATATAAACATTAATATAAGTACACATATAAATATACAATACAAAATACAACTTTAAATATAAATTCTAACATGAATACAAAATATATACAATAAAAATTTAAATTTATCATAATGTAATAAATATGAATTAAATTAAACTATATCAAGAATAACATGGAACAAATTTGAATAACTAATTACTTACATAAGTTTAAAAACAGAAACTTTAAAGTTTTAATAAAGTTAGATATAGTGAAATAAATGGATTAAAAGTAATGGCATAAAACTTAATTCAAAGTATTTCGGATATTTTAAGTAAGTAGTTTATACTTTTAAAATTAAATTAAAATCTTTTTAAACCTTTTTTGTTAAAAATCAGTGAATAAAAATTGTTTACGCTAGCCCCCTTCACCTTAAGTATGTTTATGAAGTAAAGAATTTCACTTGTAGATGTCGCTGTGATCTAAGCGGGAACAGCTACTCGTTACTCGAGTTCCTTTTTCTCGAGTCCTGTTACCCGCCTCGGATGTTAGGTTTCGCCTTCTGCGATCGCCCAACACTCTGCCACTTTGGAAGAGAACCCCGAGCAATCCACAAGTAAGGTCCTCTAATATTAATCATTTTATATACCATTTTGTTACAGCATTTTTTTATATACACATATATATATATAATAAAGTGGCCGTTAGGCGCTTACATATATATATACATATATACGAGTAAAAAGTGAAGTGTTTTTATTTAATTTTATTGAGCGAATTTAAGTGTGTTAAATTCAACCCTCGAAGGACTTCAGGGATTCGGCACCTCCTCGACCCTCGTTTGCCGCGGAATTCAAGAGGAATTCCCGGCCCCCAAATCACCCCGTCCCGAACATGGTCCTTCGAGCCGGATAGGCTTGAAGTTTTTTTTCGTGGTTGACCCACATTCGCTTAAAAATAAAATAAAAGTGATTAAAACTTCAAAGAAATAAACCTTTTTTGATAAACTGCCAAGTTGCCTTCATAAAGGAGAATTTTTTATCGCGCCCCCCGTTAACTCGTTTTTATTTTCTCGTACACGTCGAATCGTGTGCAATTAAACATATCTAGAAGTTTTTATATTGCATTCATTGGTGAAAACCGCCACTAGCTTTGGGTTTTTATTGCGTACATTGGTGAATACCGCCACCAATTTGACGTTTGCGAACGCACCCTAAAGAAAAGAAAAATATAACCAGAAAATTAAAGTACATTTTCCACCCCACGTTGTGAAAACTCGTTTTCTGTGGGACTTTGTGTTTACATTATTGCGCACAAAGATCAGGTGAGTAGATTAAACACCTCACATCAAGCTTTCCCATAAATTTGAGCAGCTTTAACCTAATTTGGAGCCGGAGCAAAGCAGAGGGCACATTTGGCCCCAACAACTGGAATTGCAGCGAAATACATAAGTATCGAAAATAGTAAGTAGATTTTGAGTACTAATTGCGTATATTTGCCGAATCGGAGCACCTAGTTAAGGCACTTGCAAAGCAAAAGCAGTACCATCAATTCCGCCAGCGCTCCAGCAGCAGCAACTGCAGCCACAAATTTTCCAGCAATCCAGCCGAAGCAGCAGCGACTGCAACCACAAATTGGCCAGCGCTCCAGCCAAAGCAGCGGCTGCAATAATACCGCCAGGGCTCCGGCGGTAAGTAAAAAGTGCAGTGAAAGTGAAAAGTGAAGTGCAGCGAGGTTCTTATAGCGCCGGCTGTATTGCCATTTGTCGAGGCGCAAGTGCTGAACGCTGGCCCTAGGTGCCATACCGTCAGGCGTCAGTGCGCCTCGCTGCACGGCCCCTAGCAGCGGCCGATAGTTAGTAAGAGCGCCGGCTGTATTGCCATTGAGGAGGCGCAAGTGCTGAACGCCGGCACTAGGTGCCATACAGTCAGGCGTTCAGTGCGAAACAAGGCCCCCACCAAGTGGTCCACCGCGATAGCAAATTCGCACCATCAAGGCCCCCACCAAGTGGTCCAACGCGATAGCAAATTCGCACCAGCAAGGCCCCCACCAAGTGGTCCAACGCGATAGCAAATTCGCACCAGCAAGGCCCCCACAAGTGGTCCACCGCGGGAGCAACACGCAAATTAAAGGCCCCCACCAAGTGGTCCACCGCGATAGCAAATTCGCACTATCAAGGCCCCCACCAAGTGGCCCAACGCGATAGCAAATTAAACAGTAAGGCCCCCACCAAGTGGCCCATCGCGGGAGCACAGCCCCATTAGTGGCAACAGAGTAAGCTGTAAGATAAGGTAAGCCTTTCAATTTGCCACGTATATTCGCGAAAAACGACTGGGAAAGGGGTGCGAAAATTGCAATAGGTCGTGCGTGAGTCCCAGAGCCACCCCTTCCATATATAAGTATATATATACATATATATTTTTTTTTAATACGTACACCATTTTCGAAATTTAAACGGTATCGGGGTAGGATAATCCGTTCCTTTTCGCGAAATTCGAGCGGTAAAGTGGTGGAGGAATAGCGGAAATTCCTTTGGGTTACCGTATCCACACACCGTTGTGTTTATATATATATAAAAAAAAAAAAAAAAAAAAAAGGAAAGAAAGAAAGTGAAATTGTGCCACAAATTGTGGGACTCAGCGTCCGTTACAAAAAAGTGTTTTTGTTTTGTGTTTTGAGCAAAAATCAAATTAAGTTTCGACAACCTCAATTATTGAATTTTGTTTAGCTTCTTTGTTGTTGTATAAATTAAATAAAGACTTCCTACAAATTTTTTCTGAGTTTTTCTACAGTTTTACGTTTTATACCGCGCCACCTTTGAAGTGTTTGGCGTGATTTTTTAAGTATTGAGAAAAAGTGGTTGGGGCAGAAGGCCCGTATACGGACCACATTATATAAATTTTTGGTCACCAAAGAATCCCTCAGGTTGTGCGGTACACTGAGAGAAAACTCTTTTGATATAAGCTTAGTACAAATAACCCGTGGAATTTTGCGAGCCATAATAAAGTTTTTTTTGCTTGACATAATAAATAAAATTTAAATTGAATATAGTTTGTATATATATTAACTGAAGGTTAAATATATTAAAGAAAGTTATTTTTCTATACACCTTTTCCACGACTCTTTTATTGCGATAGTATCTTTTTTGTCGTCGTTGTTTATAACTCGTATAAATTGTAAATACCCCCGAGGTTCAGTCGTACAATTTACGTTTGTTTAAATTTCTCGCTTTAATTAAATTAATTGATAGTACGTTGTTTTATAAATTTTTTTTTGACGTCGTTGTCGATAATTCGCGAAAATAGTAATTTACCTCGAGGTTCAGTAGTACAATTGACGTTTGTTTTTAAATTTTTCGTGTTAATTAAATTAATATTCGAAAGATGGCCAATGTTAATGATTTTTCGCGGGCGTGTGATGCATTGTTGGAATTCGAAGCGGGCTTCAACAACATGCCGTGTAGCAGCCATTCCATTTTTTCACTGGAAATCCAAAAGGAGGAACTGAAGGCGCTCTGGGTCAAGGTGAAGGATGCGTTCGATGACTACTCGAAAAAGGTGTCGGACGACGAAACCGGTCAGGCTGGTGGGCTGGCAGGTGCAGATATCAGGATTGCTACTCAGCATACTTGACGTGCGGCGCATTGATGGGAGAGACGGCTCATAACCTGACGTTCACGCAGCAAAGTAGTTCGACAGTTAATCCGGTAAATCGCGAGATTGAACCCCCAGCCCGCTCGAGTATCCATTTACCTCCATGTGACACAGAAATTTTTTACGGTGATTACATGTCGTGGCCATCTTTCCGCGATTTGTTTACGGCAATTTATATTAACAATTCGCGTTTGACCCCGGTAGAGAAATTGTACCACTTGAATCAAAAGACCCGTGGTGAAGCGAAAGATATCGTAAAAAAATCACCATTAACTAACGACGGTTTCGCGACTGCTTGGCAAAATTTATCCGACCGCTATGAAAATAAGAGGATAATGGTTAATAGCCAATTAAAAACGCTCTTTAACCTACCATCGGTAACGAGTGAACGCGGGACGGAAATTAAAAACTTACAGCGGGCAGTTAATAATTGTATATCCGTTTTAGAAATGTACGGGATTGATATTGAGAACTGGGATGCGATCTTTGTGTTCTTAGTATCGAGTCGGTTACCGGATACCACGCTGGCGTTGTGGGAACAAGGCATTGTGAGAAAGGCGGAAATTCCAAAGTGGGAGGAATTAGACAGCTTTCTCACAAGTCGGTTCCAGACGTTAGAAACGGTGTCCGATATCCGAAGTGCACGCGCAGTAAAGCCTGTACCTAATCGCCAACACGCAGCGACGTA